AAAATTCTAATAATATTATATGAAGAAAATGATTCTTGTATAATTCAATTAAAAGAAAGAGAAATTAGAAGGGACATAACAAAATATATATCACAAAAATTATTTTTCACACATAATTTTTAATAGAATGATGATATAAATATTCAATAAATTCAATCAAGCAATAATTCTACAGATTTATTCATTAAGATATTACCTATTACAATTTTTGAGAAAATAGTTCGCAAGATTAAGATGCATCATTTTAGAGATCTTTAATAATACTTTCAATGAGAGAGCCCGACGTGAGAATTAATGTATATAAAGAATATTGTATTTTTTCTTTCATTCGATTTTTTTTCCACCGAGTTTTTTTTTTTAATAAGATTTTAAAGAAAAGGAGTCCAATGTGGAGATTAGTGTGTACAAAGAATATTGTAATTTTTTTCTTCACTAGGATTTTTTTCTCACTCAATTTTTTCCTAGTGAGCTTTTTAGCGAGGCATATTCTTCATATGATGAACATTTAACGAAAAGTGTTATGAAATAATGAATGAATGTTTATATATCATTTATACAATAAATAAATACCTATTTACATGAATGTACCATTCATATCCCTCTTTGTAATTATGTTAACACAATGTAGTGGGAAAAACTTAAACTGGATAATTCGTTCAAATTTATTATCGAATCCTATACTTATCTAATACAAACAATTTTTGTCAAGGTTATTTGTTATTCGAATCTTGCTCAATAGATCCGTTTGGTATTTCACGAGTTACTTTTTTTTATGTCCTACGTTTTTTATGTTTGTTTTATCCTGTGAGTTAATTAATCCATATAATTAAATAGAATATTTAACGGTGGATAATCTTCAAGCCAATAACTCAAGTTATCATTAAAAAAAATAAAATTTAATAAATGCACCAACAAGACATAAACAATAAGTTTGAATAGGTAAAACTTAAAAGCAACAATAGGATAAAGGGCTAAAACCATCCCAATTCCTATGTTCATCTAAAACTAAATTTCTTTTAAGGTAATTTTAAAAACATATCTCTATATCATTGTGTTTTTTTTAAAAAAAAATTATATTAATTTCAAGATTTAGATTTAATAAATTAAAGAAACTTCTTTAACTTCCAAAGCTAATCTTTCAAGATCTTAAAATATCAAATAGTATGAAGGAAAAAAATAGCTCTCAAGATTGATTGAATGAAGAAAATAGTTCTCAAGATTGAGATGTGTCATCTTAGAGATTTTTAATAATATTTTCTATAAGGAGAGCCCGACATGGGAATTGATGTATACAAAGAATATTGTCTTTTTTTTTTTTTTACTAAGATTTTTACTTAATTGAGTTTTTTTCTAATAAGATTTTAACGAGAATAAGCTCGACATGGAGATTAATATATACAAAGAATATTATACTTTTTTTTCCTTCACTATGATTTTTTTCCCACTCAGCTTTTTCTAATAAGTTTTTTATACGAGACATATTTTTTGTATGATGGACATTGAAAAAAGAGTGTTATAAAATAATGAATTGTTGTCTATATACCATTTATGCAATAAAAAAATGCCTATTTACATGAATGTAAAATGAATAAATATACATGAATGTGCCATTCATATCCCTCTTTGTAATTGAGTTAACACAACGTAATGGGAGAAACTTAAATTAGATAATCCTTTTAAATTTATTATCGAATCCTATAATTATCTAATATAAATAATTTATGTTAAGGTCATTTATTATTCAAATCTTGCTCAACGGATCCGTTCAGTATTTCACGTGTTACATTTTTTTATGTCGTACGTTTTTTATATTGTTTCACACTCGTGAGTTAATTAATTCATATAACTCAATTTAATTAAATAAATACCTATTTAACCGAGTTTTTTTTCTAATAAGATTTTAACGAGAAGAAGCTCGACATGGAGATTAATGTATACAAAGAATATTATGTTTTTTTTCCTTCACTATGATTTTTTTTTCCACTCGGCTTTTTTCTAGTAAGTTTTTTATACGAGACATATTCTTTGTATGATAGACATTGAAGAAATAGTGTTATAAGATAATGAATGAATGTCTATATATCATTTATGCAATAAACAAATACCTATTTACATGAATGTAAAATGAATAAATATACATAAATGTACCATTCATATCCCTCTTTGTATTGAGTTAAGACAAAGTAATGGGAGAAACTTCAATCGGATAATCCATTCAAATTTATTATCGAATCCTATAATTATGTAATACAAACAATTTCTGTTAAGGTCATTTATTATTCGAATCTTGCTCAACGGATCTTTTCGGTATTTCACGTGTTACGTTTTTTTATGTCATACGTTTTTTATATTATTTCGCACTATAAGTTAATTAATTCATATAACTCAATTTAATTAAATAAATACCTATTTAACCGAGTTTTTGTTTCTAATAAGATTTTAATGAGAAGAAGCTCGACATGGAGATTAATGTATATAAATAATATTATATCTTTTTTCCTTCACTATGATTTTTTTTCCCACTCGGCTTTTTTCTAATAAGTTTTTTATACGAGACATATTCTTTGTATGATAGACATTGAAGAAAGAGTGTTATAAAATAATGAATGAATTTCTATATATACCATTTATGCAATAAACAAATACCTATTTACATGAATATAAAATGAATAAATATACATGTATGTACCATTCATATCCCTCTTTGTAATTGAGTTAAGACAACGTAGTGGGAGAAACTTAAATCGGATAATCCATTCAAATTTATTATTAGAATCCTATAATTATCTAATACAAACAATTTTTGTTAAGGTCATTTATTATTCGAATCTTGCTCAACGGATCTGTTTAGTATTTCACGTGTTACGTTTTTTTATGTCGTACATTTTTTATATTGTTTCGCACTGTGAGTTAATTAATTCATATAACTCAATTTAATTAAATAAATACCCATTTAACCGAGTTTTTTTTCTAATAAGATTTTAATGAGAATAAACTCGACATGGAGATTAATATATACAAAGAATATTATACTTTTTTTCCTTCACTAGGATTTTTTTCCCACTCGGCTTTTTCTAGTAAGTTTTTTATACGAGACATATTTTTTGTATGATGGACATTGAAGAAAGAGTGTTATAAAATAATGAATGAATGTCTATATACCATTTATGCAATAAACAAATACCTATTTACATGAATGTAAAATGGATAAATATACATGAATATACCATTCATATCCCTCTTTGTAATTGAGTTAAGACAACATAGTGGGAGAAACTTAAATCGGATAATCCATTCAAATTTATTATCGAATCCTATAATTAACTAATACAAATAATTTTTGTTAAGGTCATTTATTATTCGAATCTTGCTCATCGGATCCGTTCGGTATTTCACGTGTTACGTTTTTTTATGTCGTACGTTTTTTATATTGTTTCACATTGTGAGTTAATTAATTCATATAACTCAATTTAATTAAATAAATACCTATTTAACGAAGTTTTTTTCTAATAAGCTTTTAACGAGAAAAAGCTCGACATGGAGATTAATGTATACAAAGAATATTATATTTTTTTCCTTCATTATGATTTTTTTTTCCACTCAGCTTTTTTCTAGTAAGTTTTTTATACAAGACATATTATTTGTATGATGGACATCGAAAAAAGAGTGTTATAAAATAATGAATGAATGTCTATATACCATTTATGCAATAAACAAATACCTATTTACATGAATGTAAAATGAATAAATATACATGAATGTACCATTCATATCCCTCTTTGTAATTGAGTTAAGACAACGTAGTGAGAGAAACTTAAATTAGATAGTTTATTCAAATTTATTATCGAATCCTATAATTATCTAATACAAACAATTTCTGTTAAGGTCATTTATTATTCGAATCTTGCTCAACGGATCTATTCAGTATTTCACGTGTTATGTTTTTTTATGTCGTACGTTTTTTATATTGTTTTGCACTCGTGAGTTAATTAATTCATATAACTCAATTTAATTAAATAAATACCTATTTAACTGAATTTTTTTTCTAATAAGATTTTAACAAAAAAAAGCTCGACATGGAGATGAATGTATACGAAGAATATTATATTTTTTTTCTTCATCAGGATTTTTTTCCCACTTAGTTTTTTTCTAGTAAGTTTTTTGTACGAGACATATTCTTTGTATGATGGATATTGAAGAAAGAGTGTTATAAAATAATGAATGAATATCTATATACCATTTATACAATAAAAAAATACCTATTTACATGAATGTAAAATGAATAAATATACATGAATGTACCATTTATATCCCTCTTTGTAATTGAGTTAAAACAACGTAGTGGGAGAAACTTAAATCGGATAGTCCATTCAAATTTATTATCGAATCCTATAATTATCTAATACAAACAATTTCTGTTAAGGTCATTTATTATTCGAATCTTACTCAACGAGTCCGTTCAATATTTCGTGTATTACGTTTTTTATGTCTTGTACGTTTTTTATATTGTTTCGGATCTGTGAGTTAATTAATTCATATAACTCAATTTAATTAAATAGAATATTTAACCATGGATAATCTTGAAGCCAATAACTCAAGTTACCATTAAACAAAATAAATCATCTTGAAGCCAATAACTCAAGTTACCATTGAACAAAATAAATCTTATTAAATTGCACCAACAAGACATAAATGATAAGTTTGAATAGTTTAACCACCGAAGCTAATCTTTCAAGATCTCAAAATATCAAATAATAGGAATCAAGAAATGAGACAAAGAGAAATTGAAAGTACAGCACCCAGAGTAGAGTACTAGACTAAATAGACTACACGGAGAGAGCGACACGGTACATCCCCTGAAACCCACAACCCTACCTTTCTCCTCCTTCTCGACGCCCATTTCTCCCTTTACAAATACCCCACCTTTCTCTCTTTCTTCCTTCGTTTTTCCCTCCATCTTTCCTTCTCTTCATGTATGAGAGATAGGTAGGTTTCAAGAAATGGGGAAGTACATGAGGAAAGCGAATACGACCAGCGATGTGGCCGTGATGGACTTGACTCACGGCGTCCGTACGCGAGCGAAAACCCTAGCGCTTAAGAAACAACAGGGAATGAAACTACATGCTTCATCTGCCTCTCACCCGTCGTCTCCTGCCGGCTACCTTCAGCTCCGGAGCCGCCGTCTTGAGAAGAAAACCCCGCCGATTCCGTCATTGCATCATGATTCTCCAAGAAGGCAGCAGCAAAGGCAGGCTGGTCAGAATAATAGTAAGTCGGGGCCGCAACACAGAGATGAAGAGGAAAGCGGTACTCCTAGCCCTAATTTGAAACCGAGTTCGCTGCTGGTGGGTAAAGATTCTGGGTCGGGTGAAGAGAAAGAAGGAGGAGAAAGTAAAGTGGAGAGTAGAGAGGTTGAAGAGAATAATAACAGCAATAGTAAAGATTTGGGTTCTTTTGGAGATAATGTTTTGGATATTGAAGGTATAGATAGGTGGGTTTTCTTTCTTTTCCTTTAGTTTCTTGCGAAGTTTGAAATGCTCTTTGATTCTTTATTTTAGGGCTTTTTTTTTATTTGTTTAAATTTGTTTGGAATGAGAAAATTGAGGGGCATTGAAAGTTGATATTGGTTTTCTTTTTTGAATCCTTTTGTTTTTTTTTTTTTGGCAAAATCTGGGGTTCAATTTTTTTTTTTTTTTTGATTGGCAAGGAAATGGAAGTAGAGAGGGATAATTGAGGTGGGTTTTTTTTTTTTAACAATAGGGTTTATTTTGGGGGTTTTTCTTGGGGAAATTTGGGTATTCGTGTTTTGGTTGCTGAGAAAATGGAGAGAAAAAGAAGAAAATCGAATAATTGTGTGTTTCTTGGGGGGTTTAAATGAATCTTACCATGTCTGTGTTTAATTGCTGAGAAATTGAAGGGAAAGAGAAGAATCTTGACATGTTAAAGCCTCATTTTAACTTTATTCCTGATTTGGGTTATTTATTTTTTCTTTTCTGGTTGTGTAAAGTTTTTCAGGTTTTCTTTTGTCTATTTATCTTAGTTTAAAGCTTTAGTTTGTAATTTTTGGGGATTGAGAAGAGAAGACTATAATTTGCATTTATAGAGGAATTGTGGCAGCCTTTTGTGCTATTTGTACTCACGCTTGATTTCTGGGAAAAAAAAAATCATAGCAATAGAGAAGAGGATTAAAATTTATTTCATTCCATCCCCAATAATTGCTTGAGATAAAGAAGAGATGTGCTTTACATATAGATAAAGTTTTTCCTTTTTAAAAAAGAACAACAGACTGTGGTGGAATCTTTTTCTAAAGCCTTACCTTTTGTCTTTTAATGTGATTTTCTTTATTCGAATTTTGCTTCCCTTTCTGTTTGGTTTCTGAGAAAATGCAGTGTGGCGAAGAAATTTAAAATGTTGTACCTAACCTTAGATTCTTACTGCTTTGAAACCACATAACCAATTTCTTTAATTCTCTTTCAAATGCTTAAAACATGTTCATGTGATTTGTATTTAAGGAAATTATTGCTCTAACTTTGTTTTGTACTTTTAATGAATTATTAATCATCTTCATGGAGAACAAGATTCGTACAACTTCATTGCATTTGGTGGCTTTCTGCTTGAAAATGCCGGAATCTTACCTGCCTATTTGTTTACTGGACAGTACACTGAAGAGGCTTCAGAGTTCTTGCTAAATTGCTTTTTTTCTTCAATTTGATTGTGTTTGTGCTGGTCCTTATTATATGTATGTCAAAACAAAATAGTTTAAAGCGTGTGCTCTTATTTTGGTGCTCTCAGACATGGATGCTATAGCATTATTTTTTGTCAAAAGAAACAAAGCCTGTTCTATTGGTTCTTCTAACTACAGATGCCTCTGCCTTTTTTTAAGCATATTATTAATGTTTGGTGATTTTATATTTGAACATAAATATGCTTAATGTATGTTTATCTTGTTATCAGACTAGGTTTTTGTTATGTTTGGACAGACTTTAACAGAAACTGCTTTATTTGGAATTGGTTATGCTGAATATTTTACCTACTGATTCATGGACTCTGATTTGATTGGAAGCCTAAAGTGGTTTTCTACTCCTTGATCCTTTGGTGCTTGTAACTATCATCTCTATATGGTGTTGATTATCAGCAAGTACAAAATTGAAGATGGAATTCATCTTGGGAATTCCCAAAATTTATATGGTGTTTTCTTGGTTTTTTGGTGCTTGAAGTCATAGTGAAAAGGGGTTTGTTGCTTTCTGTGGTGGTGTGAATCCAGTGTCTTCAATGTTTTCAATTGGTTATTTCTGTGATTAGGAGGTTCCTGTCATCTTTGCAGAATGTACGCGTCCTAAGCTGCAAAATTGAACAGCCATGTCTTTAATGGCTTGGAAAAATTTAAGTTTTCAATTGTTAGATGCTGACACCGTTCATGTCCTTTCTAATGTTATTTGCATAAACTTTATATTTATTATCAGTGCTGATAGTTTTATGACACGGTTTACATCATCGTGCATAGTTGTTTTTTCCTAATTCATTTTCTTATATGTTAGTTTTTCTTAGGTTACATATTCGCTGGGCCTATGTCATATTTATCTTCTTTGTCACAGGAGCACTAGGGAATCCACTCCTTGCAATTTAACAAGAGGCGCAGAAGAGACAAGAACCCCTAGTTCTACTACTAAGCCTGCCAACCCAACTGAAGGTAGCCGGAGATTACATAACTCAATGCGAAGACACATCCCAACAGCCCGTGAAATGGATGAGTTCTTTGGCCCGGCTGAAGAAGAGCAGCTAAAGCAATTTACTGAGAAGTATATACCCCCATCTGTTTCTTTATCTTCTTTGAATGATTGTTGAAGATTTGTACTATCTTTCATCAAATATTTCTGCTGCAAAGGCTACATCCTCGTAGCTGATAGAAATGTTGACTTTTGGCAGGTATAACTTTGACCCCGTTAGTGAGAAGCCACTCCCTGGACGTTACAAATGGGAGAAATTGGATCATTAGAAGACCTTAGCGTTCCATCAGGACTTTTCCTGCAAATTAACGGCTGATCTTGTGCTTACTATTTTAGAAGTAGCAGGAATTAATAGTAGTAGTTCTAACGGTGGTGGTGTTATATCCATTTTCCATCGCCTGTTCTTTTAGTTGTAAAGAAAGTAGGTTTGTCAAACATGTGTAGACTAATGGTCTGTAACATAACAGGGGTTATGAGTTACACAACAAAATACAAACCACCAAAGTCCTATGTCTAACAGATCATCTGAGAGGGGGAAGTGAAAAGAAGATGTAGATTTAGGTTTTCGCCAATTAGGTCAGTCTCTCTGGTACAGAAATTTACTAGATTTTTCTTTTCCCTTGGTACTGTATTTTCCTCCCCTTATTTGTCTATACTAGTACTGATGCAACTTCTAAAAAACTCTCTGGAATAAGCATTGTCATCACTCTTTTCCCCTCTTCATATTTTGTCTATTTCTCTGTCACCTACTGTTCTTTGACACTGTTGAACTTTGGCTTGTTTATATCCTTGTGAGAGTGCATCTTTGATCAACTTTCGCAAACATTGTTCATAACCTACTACTAAATTTAACTTTATGCAAGAATGAATGGTGATGGTTGTGGTAGGGTAGCTCTTTTGGAATTTTTAGATGTAGTGGAAGAATCTTGCCATCTCATCTTGTCAGCAACTTTTTGTAATCTACTTAGCAAATTTGTGCATGCTAAACCTGGTGAATGGAGTTTTATAGGAAGTTTGTAGAGTGCTTTTGTAAAAAGGGACTGGAAATGAAGAAATAAAGAGGCTTCCCTTTTCTATTCATATATAATAAGTCAATTTTTTTAATCTCTCAAAATTTTAAAATATTTTTAATATGTTTTTATTATTTATGTTGGTTTTTAATCTATCATTCTAGTTAAAATATTAGTCCATGATTCTAGTTAAAATATTTTGTCAATTTATCAAAAATCAATCTTTATATTAGTAGATATAGATTATTTATGCTAAATACGAAAAATAATTTTGTTAAATCACATATTATGTGTAAATTACATGCTTAATTTGGCTGAGAGATAAATTGAAAATTTTGTTTATTATATAAGCTTTTATGATCATTTGAATAGCAAAGATTTGGCTTTTAGGGTTTTGGGTAGACTTGGGAGAAATTTTTTGAGTTAATAGTTCATAGGGTCTCTTTACTTTTTTTTTTTTAATCTTAATCGTGTCTCTTTACTAATTTTTTTATTAATGTCATTTTTCGACGTTTATTTTGTGTCTTAATTTTGTCTATCCGTCCAAATTTTTAGATATTTTTTCTAACTCACACACTTAAGGCTCTTAACGAACTAGTCCGTTAGGATTTGAACCAAAATTTTTAGGTAACAACATGAAGAGATGCATGGAACGTTGACACTTGATAATTTTTTTTTCTATTTGATTTTCAAAATTAAATAAATAAATTTCTAAAATGAAAAATTTAAAACTCAAAATGCTATCTATATGAAAACTCTAAATTCTCAATTCGGTTTCAATTCTCTCCTAACCTAACAATGTGGCATCCATTCCGTCCTTAAAAATCCAACCCGAATCAAATATCAAAACCTATCAAGAATCAATTTTTTTGAAGGAGTTAATTGCAACACTTGACAATTAAGCAAATCGGGAGGCCAAAGTTTAATTCTTGATTTTATTTTCTTTTTTAGGCTGCTAAAATGTAGGTTGAAAAGAATCACCCAAATTTAGAATTTTCAAAATCATGGACTTATGTTAATTATGTTGACGGGCAGAAAAGCTATTTTTCGATTTATCTTGTGGACGTGAGAAATTGCAGAGAATCCTAGCAATGCGTGGGTGGTAGAAAATGGTAGCATATTTGTCAATCCCAAATGGGGATAGTCAAATAAAGACACCTTTTGTCGCACCTGTAATGATAGGTTGCTGTGATTAAGAAAATCGAATGGTGGTTATAGTGGCGTTTGATGTGGCTTAAGTGGCATTGGTTTAAACCAAGGAATCTTCAATTTCCAATAAACCTTTACTTGATTTCAAATCTTGAAGTGAGGAGTTTTGTCGATTTTCAAATGGGCATTAATTGCTTTGTTGGTGTAGAAAGAGAACGAAGGCTCTTGCAAGGAAACCACCTCTTGTTTGTAAAATCTATGCAAGATTACATGTTTTGGCAAATTAAGCACTAAATAGTACCTTTCTTTTTGGGTGAAGCACTGGATGCTCACTAGTCATTACTCTACTACCATTGGAAGGACAGACTACAGAGTGTATCTATGCAAAAATGGTGGTCCCATTTCTCAGAATGAAATGACCAAACATCATTACCTTTGTTAATTGCTAAAACTCTAGTGGTGGTGGATGGTGGTGGTGGTGTCCTGAAGTGGGGATAGACAGGTTGACCCATTCTGTGTAGGGTTTTGGTGGTTAAATGAGGCTGCTAATTCTCTCCTGAACCAGGAGACTGCCCCTTTGGGCTTCTGAGAAACTCAGGGTGGCTTTCTCGAGGTGAGGCCTGCCAATTTGTGGTAAATGTCAGACTTATAGTACCAAATGGTGTGAAGCTGTGTTCCGAAGATGTAGAAATATGTAACATGTGTTTTGAAGCTGCTTAAAAGACTTTCTACTAGATTGATGATGACCCCATCTTAAGCTTTTGCAAGAAAAAATAACAACTTGGTAAAGATTGTAATATACAATAATTAAACAGTCCAACAAATTAAGAGAAGGAATTGCATAATCCAAGGCAACCATGTGTAAGCACATATCATATAAGTTGCCCTTGATTAGGGATAGCAATCCAATCCGTCCCGACGCCACGCCGCTCTGTTTGGAGCACAAAATTTTGCTCGGAATGGAACAACGAACGGGGATGGATTTTTTTTTTTTTTTTAGGACAGAGTGAGGATGGAGATGAGGATGGCCATCCCCGCCATGCCACGCCCTGCCCTGCCCTTTTGCCTTTAAAAATGGTAATCTAATGGGGCAGGTTTGGAGTGAGGATGGAGAGCGAAATTTCGTTCCAAACGGAACACGAAGTGAGGATGAGGTTTTTTTAGGAACGGAGCAGGGATGGAGATGGGGATCCCCACGCTGCCCCGCCCCACTGCCATCCCTGCCCTTGACCAGCCGCTTCTTGAATTGCAAAGAAACAACCTCAATGAGTTCTTGAATGAAATGTCTTCTATACTCTGATCATTTTCATTCATAATAAATGAAAATTCAATTTATTTGACTGGTACAGTGTAAAAAAAGTTCATGGTGGAAACTGGAAATAAGACTGCTGGGGGTAGTCATGCCTATCGCGAGTTACTGTTTTTACAACTAAGTAGGAGATTTAAAACTATGAAACTCACAATGTGCTAGTATTTCAGATCATGAGGCAGAACTTAAATCTGCAGAAGATAATAAATTAACTAAACTGACCAACTGAACAAAGCTACTTGTAATAACTTCAATTGGGCAGTGACAACGCTTATAGGAAGTGATTTGCCCTTAAAGTTCAAGCACTTCCAGACCAGCACACTTACGGCACCAAGAGAACGCTGCAAAGTTTGAGTTTCAAAACTAAAAAACTTTATTGCACACTAGTTATAGTCAACTCTATTACAGCATCATGAAGCACCATCGCTTACTAACCGGTCTTTGCATCCTAAAAATAAAGTCACTTTTCAGCATCTTCTGCATTCTCCTGCCCGTACCGACGCTTAAACTTCGCAATCTGGCCTAAACTCTCAGCCATTTGCCGTCTTGCTCTGAAGTGGTAGACTTTACCAACCTGGTGTATTTTTGTCATCATAACGTGCATCAATCTGCCACTCTGGGTCACATAGGATATCCATTGCATTTGAGGGTGGACTCCTTTCTTCATCTTGAGCGAATCTGCATCTCAAAGAGCATCACACAGAGCTCAACATAACTCATCCTGAATTTTCCTTTCCAAACTTACGAGTTGCTCATGAAGACAATCTGATTAAGAACATTATTTAAGGTCGAACGCATCAAATTAAATTGGAATATATGATTTTGGTGATTAACAAATCCATTTTTCGCATAAGACCCACACTCAATAGAATAGAAACATGAATCACCACCTCAATATTTTGAGGATCATAGACTTCAGATATTTTTCACCAATGTAATTTAGATTTCTAAGGCTCTTCAACATAAATAGTTTTTAGAAAGTAAAACAAAAATTACAACGTTGATCATAAAAGACTATTGTCTACAGTAGCCAGAGATAATCAAGACATAAAAAGATATTAATCACATGAATGCAATAACAAAAGGGTATCTAAAAGTCACTAAGAAGTACATAAAGCCCTTAAGAGCACATATAACAAATGTAACAAAAAAATAAAATAAAATGAATTGGTCTCTGTGGAGTGGCTTGGGGAGTTTGTGATGGAGCATTAACGTCCAGCTAAATCACATGGAAGATTAGAAGCATTAAAACCAATGGAGCACCCCCTGCAGGAAATTGTTTCTTTTTTGAAAATAAATAAATTCTGATGTTTCTTCTTCTGGGAGCTAGGGTATGGATTTAGGATTGTTATCCAAAATGAAACGGGTGAATTGCTGCTGAAAGCCTTAAAACGTGTAATACAAAACTTCTCTATTGATGCTGGTGAAGGGATTGTAATCGAAGATGGTTAGGGATTGGCTGCCGATAAGGGGTACCAGAACTTAATTATAGAGCCTGATAGTCTGGTTCGTATCCAGGCCATTGAAGTCCAAACTTACCTCTAAGTGAGTTGGCACAGATTGTAGGTGATATTCAGAATTGTATTGATGTCTTCCAAGAGGTCAAATTTCAACATTCTTCAAGAAGCTCCAATACTGTGTGGCTCATTCACTCAATGCATTGGCATAGATGTAAATCTAGAGAAGAGTTGCATAAAAGGGGTTCCTCATTCTATTGCTTCTCTTTCAGCCTATACGAATCCAACTTTTCCAGTTTATGAATGGAAACTATGTCTTCCTATTAAAATTTAAAAAATTCACA